TAAAGTAAAACTTAATATCTTAAGTTTTGATATTTTAGTCTTTTTATTAAAGAATAATTTATTTCATAAAGTAACTCATTGTTCAAAAATAATGGTTTGTAAAATAATTTAAAATCAAATGCAACCCAGATTGATGCAACCCAGATTGATGCAACCCAGATTGATGCAAAAGAAGATTGATGCAATTGATGCAAGAGAGGATGCAAAATTCAAAGAACATAACTCTAAACCATTTTTTTTCCAATGGCAGACTTTTCTTAAAATCAGTAGAAATATAATAAAAATGAAATCAACAGAAATAGCACTTTGATTTTATCTTGTCAAAGTTAAATGTAGTTAGTATATATATATATATATATATATATATATATATATATATATATATATATATATATATATATATATATATATATATATATATATATATATATATATATATATATATATATATATATATATATATATATATATATTTATATATATATATATATTTATATATATATATATATATATATATATATATATATATATATATATATATATATATATATATATATATATATATATACAGGGCCGGCGCGAGTAGGTGTCATGTGGGGGGGGGGGGTGCCATTACAACTTTTGCCGACTAAAAAAAAAAAAAGGTCCTCGTTTTTCAAACTTTGCCGACTGTCATGACGACATTTGCCGACTGTCTCACCTATATCGAAAGGGTCCACATTTGCCGACTAACTAGGTCCAATTTGCCGACTAAGAGTCCAATTTGCCGACTAAGAGTCCAATTTGCCGACTAAGGGTCCAGTTTGCCGACTAAAAATCATTGATGGGGGGGGGGGGTCGTCACACACACCCACACACCCCTATCGCGCCGGCCTTGTATATATATATATATGTATATATATATATATATATATATATATATATATATATATATATATATATATATATATATATATATATATATATATATATATATATGTATATATATATATGTATATATATATATATATATATATATATATATGTATATATATATATATATATATATATATATATATATATATATATATATATATATATATATATATATATATATATATATATATATATATATATACATGACAGTAGATTATTAATATATATATACTATTATATATACGGAAAAATTATTCTTATAAATAAATACATAAAAGTATTTACAAAATCAAATTTCAAACCCAAATAATAAAATTAAATCGTGTTAGACAAACTCAACCAAACGGAAATGAAACTAAGCCTGAACCACTCATCATAAAAGAGCTTAAAATCACTAAAAATAAAAATGCAGGACCGCACTCCAGCAAAACAGTCTGAATTCCTAGAACTGCTTATAAAAAGACAAACACCTAATAAAGCGTTCGAGAATGCAGGGAATAAAGACAAAATAGATTTGTTATAAGATCAAACTCACTTAAGTGTGTTGACTTAACAAAGAAATTATTAGTTGACAACACCAAAAGACACCCGTTTGTTAATAACAATACTATAAAACAAGCCCTTCATCAATTATGAACTATTCCGGCGAAAGCCACCATGTTGCTACCAAAGTCCTGTCGACCTCTTCTAAAAAAAGCTCTGTCAAAGACCACTCACCCCGAATGCAGCCCAATTTTACCCAGCAAAAACCAAATACCTACCATTTATACTCGTAACAAACGCCTTATCGATTTGTAACAAAACGCAATTAATCAACATTAATCAACTAAGTCACGAAAGACACTGAAGACAATCTAGTGTGTATAACAAAAAAATGGTTAAACGAGCAAAATAAAATCATGATACTTAAAGAAATTAATGAAAAATATTATACAATTAGTAATGAACGCAACATTCAAGTAGGTGGAGGGACTCTAATTTTGATTAAAAAAAGCTCTCCAAAATTTACTGCACACACACCAAATAAAATGGAATTACCAATTTTGGTCAAGGACCACAACAAAATTAGCAAGCGAGAGCTCAATTTGGTTAGAATCTACCCGCAACAATTACCACGAGGTTATTCATCCTACTTTATTGAATGCGCATACATACCAGAGTGGGTAGCCAACAAGCAAAAATATCATCAATCTACCAGCTCCTGCACCAAATGGAAATTATTATCTCTAGCAGTACACGCGATAATAAACCTTTAATATATGTAGGGGAAGTGGGGGCATAACCACATATGGAGGCACAACCGTTTTTTTAAATTTCTCTTCAAAAAATGTTATCTAATATGGCAAAAAACATACCACGCGTGAGTAAAACAGTTTCCTTCGTTTTGCATATGTCAAAAAAAGTGACTTTAAGTTTCTGAGAAATTGTGAATAATAAAGTTTATTTTGATAAAAATATTATATTTACATCATATTTTTCCTGACCTTCTTTTTGAGAATTAAGCAATATTTGATTTTAGTGTTAAAGATATGTGTTATCAGCATTATTTCATGAAGTGAAAGCCATTTTTGATAATACCATAATC